GTAATTTTTTTATTTAGTATTTAAACTGTTATGATTACTTTTTAACTAACAACTTTAATAATTGTTATGTTAGGTAATGTTTAATTTTTATATACCTTAAAGCAATGTTGTTAGCATGAATTTATTGAGTTAGACATTAAAATAAATTTTTATTCATTTATAGGGACAACCAGTGATTGCCAACTAGTGTAAAATTATTAACTGAAATCATTTGATTTAATTACAAAACTCAAGTATTGCATATATGTTGTAAATAAAATTCTAGAAAAATAATTCCAGTTAAAACAGTTGAAAAAAATAATAATGATTTCAAACTTTTTTTATAAATTCTCATTTTTGAACCTTTAATATATAATTTATATATATATATATATATATATATATATATATATATATATATATATATATATATATATATATATATATATATATATATATATATATATATATATATATATATATATATATATATATATATATATATGTATCTATAAACATATAAAGCTTAAATCTTTTTTGTTAGGTAATGGAATGTAAGTAGCTTTCCTATGACAGACATTTTGGTAGACCAGGATCAGGATTATCTAACGCTATATTAACACTCTTATGGGAAAGATACCATTTATGGTTTTGAAGGCTTTTTAATAAAGCACTTCCAACATCATAATCCCAATCTTTTTTGATAATTTTAGCAGCTTTGCTCTTTGATAATTTTAGCAGCTTTGTCTCAAGGTCATTTACTACTGTATGATTTAAGAAATGAAGGAGCAAAGTATAGAGCAACAATAAATTTAGTCTTAGAGACTAAAGTCTTCTGATTGTTACTCAAGAAGTTGAAAATAGGAGACGTAATATCCAGAAGCCTAAGCAGATGCTGTCACACATAAATCTGGCATAATGGTTTGCACCTGGTTGGTACAAACTAAACTTTTCAAGCTTGTGTGAATTGATATTTATATAGAATGCAAGGCATTTTACCAAGGTATTATAATCGTTATTAGGAAAAACATTATGTTCTAGCAAATAAGCAATAAATTTCTTAGACTTGATATATAAACAGTGAAGATCACTTCCAACAACCAGCTCACTTTCAAGAAATTTTTTGATTTTTTTCTTAGCTTCTGATTTAGGGTAATAACTGTTCATCCAACCGTGCTTTAAATCTTTATACATTTACATGGTCTCACATTTTGATTTTCAAAAATAGCATTGATCCCCTTCTTATATGGATCTCTGCAATATGGTGCCGACACAAGAGCCTAAAGAACTAAAGTTACAACTGCTCATGATTTTCTTCCTGCGTTTATAACTGTTGTATCAGTGCACACAGCAATCATATTCTCTGATATTTTGAAATATTCTACCAGATTCTGGAGTATAATATCCATATCATTAGCTTTTCCATTGTCCATAGGAACAACTCCAAGAAGTAAATCATTGTTTAACAAAAACTCAGGACTTGTAACTGATGCTTTTAGTCTATCAATAAGAACTCTTTTCCTCAATTCTACTATGTGCTTTACAATTATCCATCAAAGCGTAGCATCAATGATTTGTTTGTTATTGTTTCCATATACTCATTACGGATTTTACAACCTAAACAGGTTTCTCTTTAAATTTAACAACTTTATCAATCAGCAATCTAAAACAGATTTTTATATTACTATAATCTAAATGCTAAAATTTTAAAACAGTAAAATTTGTTTCCTTCAGAGTGAATTTGTTTGTACCTGTCTTTTCTATTCGATTCTCTGTTTATCCTTAATTCTGTGATATCGCCTTCAAGATAATTTACAAAGCTAGAGATGAATAGAGTTTGATCTTTTATACTGATACCAGCTCTCATACAAGTTGGTGTGGTTGCTACAATCAAACTCTCCTTAGTGATCTCCTTGTTTACTGCTAAGGCTGAGCGACCAGATCTGTGTCTTAATTTAGGTCTATCAGGCTTTTCAGCCAAAGTTGGTTCATTGCTTAAGTCAGGGTGATAATATTCTCTGTCAGGATATAGCTAGGGAGGACCTATTGAAGAAGTTTTTTAGAATGAAGAAATCAAAAAAATTTTATCTCTTGCATGACATGATACTAAAAAGAATAGGGGTAGAGAGAGAAATGACTAGGATTTAATTAAAAGATACTAAAACAAATTGTACCTAATACTGATATTCTTTTACATTTTTTATAAGGTGATTCTTCTTCTTCACTTATATAGTCCTGATCATCTGTTTTCATTGGATTATTAAGAACCAACCAATCTGCTTCAGCTTTCTTCCTTAGCTCTTCGTGTATTGTGTAACTTTCTATTCTTTTCTCGATATAATTTAATAAAAACTTAGTTTAGTTTCATTAAATGTTTATTACTCTGCTATCTAACTCTTTATCAACGCAAGCACTGATACACATTTTTCTGTCTTGTTTTTGAACTTGAAGAAAGTCTTAAAGAAACCTGAAGAAACCACAAGAGGCCCAAATATTTACAATACTCCGTAGCAAATAGTATTCTCGAGTCACAGCGTTGCAACGTCTATCAATTCCTTTGCACTTTATGTCTCCAGAAGATGTCTTTTGTGCACTAGCAAAGTTAGTCTTAATAAGTCTGAATCTTTTAACCCTGAGGGAAATAATATACAGAAAATATCTAATAACATGATCAATAGTAGGCGATTACCTGCTAAGGTAGAGAGCTCAGTGGAGTTTCAAGAAGAGAGACAGGTCTTCTTGAGTTGTAATTGGTTGGCTTTACAGCTCCTTTTTTAGCTTTAGCTTTTCCCATTTTTCTAAAATATTTAAATGTTTGAACAAAGAATTGATTTAAAGATTTATAAAGTTAAATATAAAAAGTAATATTTTGTGCTTTTAAGCGTATTGAGTAATAATATAATAAGAACTTAATGGCAGACAGTAGTAACAGTGGGGTGGTGGGATCCTAGGACTTAGAGTAAGGATAAAGGGGCAGAGGAGTTGGTGGGCATTGTCAATATGATTATGAATAAAATAATATAATTACAAAGAAACAAAAGTATTTTTTTGTATACCAGCATTAATCTACTATTTTTTTTTTTTGCTACATAATTTTGAACAGGGATATTATATCTGCTGAAATTCGTCAAATAAATTGATTTTTAACATTATAATACATGTATTACTTATAATGTCTAAAATTATCATATCAAATATCTTATACAATGTAAAAGATATCATTTTATTGTACTAACATGTAAAATATACTTGCTTATAAAATAAAAAGGCTCATTTCTTGTAAAAAAATCGATTTTTACTTGTTGTTACAAGCTGTTACAATCATCAAGCATACTTAAAATTTTGCCTGTGAACTCATATTATGTAGCAAAAATCGTAGGTCACCTTAGCTAAATTTTTTTTATCATTTTATATGAGTACAACACGCCTTAAAACTATGAACTTTTCGAATATTGGTTTAAAAAAAATTCAAGTATAACATGGAGAAAAATAAATTTTTGACTGGTTTTTTCTATACGAAAAGAACCACGTGTACCCGACTAATAACTTCACGTTTAATAAACTTTTTTCTCCTTTTTTTTATGGGATTTGTCACTCAATAAAGACAACAACGAACAAATACTAAATACTTAATACAGAGAATTAACATATACAACAGCTTTACGATCACGCCATACCCTCATGCACATATTCATTTGGAAGCTCCACAATGCACATTGAATTAGCGCTAATTGGCTATATCTTTAGAATTAAGTTCTCACTAATTATTTCCTTATGTCACATCTCTACGGTTCCTATCTTTTTAGCGAATGTGAAAGCTTATGGTCTATGAAATTCATTCGTAGGTCTTACACCTGGTTTTAACATGCTAGCCAATAAGCATAAGAAGTGAGTGGGTTTAACTATTTGTTCACCTAATTTGAAAGTGGACACAAACTTAATGAGATCTGGCTACTTGACAGAACAAATTGATGCGCCACACAATTACACCTATAGACATAAGAGGTCTATATTAAAACTTCACTTGTTTTTATTTTAAATATTGTTTCATATTCTTTTCTTGGTCATTTCTTTATCAACGCTAAATTATCTATCACAAACAAATTGTTTAGTTAAAGTGATTCCTAAGTCCCGAGACAAGTTGTGTTCATATTAAAGAAAATGTTATAAAAAAATGTTTAAGCTAAATTTTTTTGAATAAAATTATATAAAAGATGCCTACTAATAAAATTAAAATTGTCATTTTGGTTGAGGCTTGCTGAAGACGTATATAGCCCTAACCCTGACCCTAATCCTAACTCTGAAGCTCTATTTTTTTGGTTCTCCGAGTCCGTATAATGTTAGCAGCAATCTGCAGACTTGTTAATTTATTTCATGCGTGTTTAATTCATAGCAGTTTATGATGTCATTATTTTTTTGCCATTAATCACTAAATCATATTTATATATATATATATATATATATATATATATATATATATATATATATATATATATATATATATATATATATATATATATATATATATATATATATATATATATATATATATATATATATATATATATATATATAAACAAAACCTAGCACAAACAATCTCAATAAACTGTTTAAATAAAAATAAATTTAAACTAAATAGCGTCACTATCCACACAACCTAAATAAAACATTAATTTAATATATAACAAATATTTGCAGTAAAACGAACTGGTTACGTAAAGGAAACTAAATATAAGCTAGATACCAAAAGAATAATTTTACTTAAGCCTATAAATTAGTGTAAAGTATACTTAACTAAAAACTGAATAAAAAACGAGTGACTTAAATAAACTATATAAACTGAATTAAGTAGAAACTAAATATAAAATGAGTTATTTTACTTATAACCGTATAAATCAAACTAAGTTAAAGTTAAAACAAGTATGGGTAATAAAATATGCAAAAGTTAGTTAAATATAAATATAAAACAAAGAATCGCATTAACTCTTTTGCTACCAGCCGTTTTAACAGAAAATGTTTTC